AACTACGTAATATACCTATCTGATTTAGATCTATTAGGTCCATTAGATCTTATGAAATGAATGCCCCAGTCACATTCTAAAACTCACAATCTTTTTTCTTTAGAAGGTACGCTAGGGTCAGAATTTTGATAAAAATCCTGCATGCCTGACTGAAGTGAAATTTTGGTGGTAGGTATTAGTCCGTAAGTGATTTGATGTATTTGAAAGCGAAGACATTATAATGGCATGTGGCTGCCATCAGATCGCGCACGGAGGGATGTGATGCGACAATGTTAATTTTTGCAATTCGACTAGGTATACGTAGGCGATTTGGTTATGATGAGTACTAATTAAAAGTGCAAGGCTAAAAAGGGGAAAACAACAGAAAAGACGATTCGTAGAAAAATTACATCAAAAATGTGCCATCCAAATGTTATACCAATTAGGCATTGGTGACGTCATAATCTTTCTTTTCGCTTTTGTTTTACTTTCATTAACATAAGTTGAAATGAAGTGCGGGTATAGAGGATGAAGACGTCACATTTCAAAATGCTGCCTACGCAAGGAAATAAAAAATAATAATTTCACATTCACGATCATATTGATAATTTTGATGTAAGATAATGTCATATTTTTATTAAAAAAAAATATTTTTAATTTGTTTACCTTCCCTATTTTAGGCCCTTTTCCTACCTAGTTCAAACAATACGTAGAAACTGGGTACCTACCTACCTACATTAGCTACTTCAGTGTATCTTTGTATAGGCAAAAGGTAAGCATCATTGGGCATAGTCTATTCGCTAACATAGTGCAGCAACCAGCCTAAAGATCAGGGCCCCGAGTCCGCTAAATGAAAATCGTTTCAGTCGAGTCTCGATGGCATCTCAGTTGGATGGTTTCGGCCATTTCGTAGTCTGCTAACAGTTTTTAGTATGGAAAATCACAGTGGCAGTAGAATGACAGTTGAGTCTCGCTGGCATTACAATGGCTAAAAATTAGCAGACTTGGGGCCCTGGGATGTCAACTTACCTACGCTGGTAATAGTCAGATATTAATAAGACCAGCATAACTTGACCTCATGCGGTACAGTGACGGCCGATGTGATGTGGTGCAGTGGTAGTGCGACTGTGCCGCGATGCAATGGTTCCGGGTTCGATTCTCGGTAGGGCACTCATAGATTTCTTATTTATCACTTTCTGAGATTGTTCCCAGTCTGGTTAGAGCAAGGCAGGCGGAACCATCTGATTGTATAGGTAAGCATAGTTGCGGTACACTATTCAGGACTATTTTGACATCGATTTAGCGTTGCGTTTACTTTCTTGGTCATATTTAGACAACCGTTTGCTGTTAGGAAAAATGCCTATTTCATTTGCTTTAATAGTAGCGAAGCGAGTGAAGTCACTGACAAACATATATCTACTACAAATATTTACTTACCAAAAGCTGCATCGTCAGCACCCTAGTTATAGTTTCATTTGCGGGATGCGGCGACACGTGAGATTGCACGACGCTGCGATTATTTGTATGTGTCGCAGTACGATGGCAGAATTAGGTTTTTGGCCAAAAACCTAGGTTTTTGGCCAAAAGCCGGCATATGGCAAAATCGTAGACTTCTTTCGGCCATCGTCCTAAGCTGATCCAGGTTTTTGACCAAAAACCTAGGATTTTGGCCAAAAAACTAGGATTTTGGCCGAAATCCTAGATTTGTTTAGTATTATGGCTATTTTTGCATTTCGGGGAAACTTCTTCTTCTTCGAGTGGTACACCAAGTCGCCCAACGACCCGATGAACCCTGGTGTTAGAGTTTTTACCCTGGTGTTAGACCTCTACTGCAAGGAGCAGGCCGCTGACAAGGTTGTGTAACGACCGCCGTCTAAGTGATCATAAAGAGCAATCGGGACCGACGGCTTAACGTGCCCGTGTAGTTCGGGCATACACCTCGAAAGGCAGGAGGTAGCATTGGACGTTCTGGAGGGTGGGAGGTAGCGTCAGACGCTCTGGAGGGCGCGGGTAGCGTCGGACACTCTGGAGGATGTAAGATGACGGGCGTTGGATTTTCTGGGGGTCCGACGCTACCTCCTGGTCTCCAGGGCGTCCAACGCTACCACCAATCCTCTAGAGCGTTTAGTGGTACGTCCTGCTCTTATGGTGTCTGATGCTCCCCCCTGCCCTTCAGGGAATCCGAGGCAATCCTGCTGTTCAGACTGTCTGATGTTACCCCCCGTCCTTCAGGGTGTCCATTTACGGTGTCCAAGTCTACCCTCAAAAGATCAGAGGGAGGTGCATAAATTACCTCTCCACTCCTCGTTCCCCCGAACCACACGGGCACGGTAAGCCGTCGGTCCCGATTGCTCTCTATGATCACTTAGACGGCGGTCGTTACACAACCATGTTAGAGACCTGCTACTTGCAGTAGGCGGTTGAAAACTCTGATACCAGGGTCCATCGGCTCGTTGGGCAACTTGGTGTACCACTCAAAGACGAAAAAGTTCCCCCGAAATGCAAAAAAGCCATAATACTAAACAAATCTAGGATTTCGGCCAAAATCCTAGTTTTTTGGCCAAAATCCTAGGTTTTTGGCCAAAAACCTGGATCAGCTTAGGACGATGGCCGAAGGAAGTCTACGATTCTGCCATATGCCGGCTTTTGGCCAAAAACCTAGGTTTTTGGCCAAAAACCTAATTCTGCCATCGTACTGCGACATATGCAACATACCGAAAACCGGGCTTTGGGGCTCTGCTAGAAAGTCGCATACAGGTACCTACATACCTACCACACGCATGCAAATGTAGAATGCAACACAATGATAAAAGTTTAGTACCTAAGTATTTTTTTTTTTTCAATTTCTGTTTAAATGCTTCATTTCATGGCTAGTTACTCACATATTTACATACAGTTACCCACATATCTACATACTTACTTTTGTAGATTTAATCTACCTAGAAGACATAAATCTGATAAAATAAGTTCCGTAAAAACATACAACTATGAAACAGCTTGCAACTGTGGTCCAATCCAAACAAATCTGTAATATTTTTAATGCTAAAAACAAGAAATAATGCCGTTTTTTTGCGTGATTGTATAATTTAACGGTTCCATAAAAGTCTCAACAAAATATTCGTTGTTTTATCTTTGAAGCAATTATCATATACAAAGACAGAAGTCAATATTTTTGCATGATACTATGTATACCATTTTATAAACGCTATTACAAGTAGGTATATGTTTGATTAGTCGGAAATATATATTAAATACTATCTTTAATAAGCTCAGATGGTATTAAAACATACTCAAAGGCCTTTTTTATGTGACAAGCAAGACTTAATCAGTGAGTAGATTTCTCGGAAAGTTTATTTTATTAATTTATTTTTATTACACAAGTGTAATGTCACTAATTACTTTTCCATATTCCGGACCTAGTCATGTTTAAACTAATATTCGAGATGCTTGTAACGTTTCTTCTGCACTTTTCTTTAGGTTGATAGGGGAAAGGGTAGGGAGGTGAGGTGGGTACCATAAAATAAACCACAGCTTTAAACTTTGTAAACATGTTTAATTGCTTTTAGTAACTCAACAAACGGGTCCAAATGTTGCCTTCTAATAGTTTGACGCCACATCTTTTCTACCAACATATCTTCGAAATTCCCTGGATGATTTCCAAATTTACTGAATCTCTTTTTCAGAAAGCTCCAGTTACTCATTTGGCGATCTTGGATAGCTACTTCTGAAGCACTAGAAGAAGTCCCCGCTTCAGTTTTTTCTTTTTTACCGGTAACAATTTTATGTGAAAATCCATGCACTTCCAGACCTTCGTAAGCAGGCCAACTGCTAGTGTGGATGATAGATCTCGGCTCAACATGCTTTATAATCGGAAGCTGAACCTCAGCAAACGCTTCGTTCACAGGGCAAGTTGCTAACCTGAGCTCACTCGATATAGGATCTAACATTGCCAACACCCAATGCCCTTCACGCTCTTTCCCTTTCGCGAACTTCCTTTCACCAAACGTACCTTCGTCGACGATCACTATTTTCCCTTCTCCGCCAATCTTCTCTCTCTTCTCCATATGGTCTAATTCGTAAGCCACGACAGTTTCACGGCAGGAGGTAAACCAGTCGGAAATCGTGGTTGAAGATAGGATCTTGTCTCTGGCTTGCGAGTAGCACTCAATTTGGGTGGTATAGTAATCGTATTCTCTCGCATAACAATACATGATCCGGAATACGGTAGGCAGTGGCAAGTGACATTCTTCGAACCACGTGCCAATAGCTCTTGACCATTTCTTTCGACATTTATGACACGAAAAGTAGCCCAATGAGTTGTTGCGGAAGACTGTGCAGTTTTTTCTATGCCTGCGGCATTCCTTTTCCATCGGAACCAATCCCACAGCTTCGCTGAACTGGATGCATTGCTCTTCTGTTTGAAGATCGACTAAAAAGATAAGATATAGATAATAGTTAATCATAGTGGAAGAGAGAACGTGAACGATAAGGCCAATTAAAAACAAACGGCAAAATGGGATGCGGCACGGCACGCCACAACTGCTTTTGTCGACATCTGTCGGCTACCATTGAGAGGTGTCGACGGCGGGTGCACACCTATCCATCTGTAAGCAGTCTGAAACTGAAGTTAAGCTGCTTTCAGCGTCGCACTGCTAGGAAAGCGACGGGCCGTGAATCTTATTTTAGTTTTGGTACTGTACAGTTTATAAGAACCAACCTAAGAACCCTATATGGACGTAAGCCGCAAACTAGGCGGTGAGTACATATCTACCAAAATGTAACCAGAAGTGCGCTGCCACGGCATGCCATATTCATGCCAGCTCAGCAGCGGATGCGAAAAGACATCAAAAAGAAAGATCATAATGTGTTAAATTGGCAATTATAGGCGTTTATTAGTAGGTGGTTTAATAACTGAGATCAAGGTTCAAAGCCATCCTATATGAAAAGAACAAAAATATATTAATCAAAAACTTCTATCAATAGGTGTCGATGACTGTCAGCGAATAATGCTGGTGTAAGGCGGTGGTGTGGTGCACTGGTTAGTACTCCTGCCTGCGACGTAGAAGGTTCCGGGTTCAATTCCCGGTTGGGAACCATCAGAATTCTGATCCGAAAAGCAAGATGGTTCCGTGCTGCGGAGGGCACGTTAAGCCGTCTTTAGACGGCGGTCGTTACACAACCATGTCAGAACCCTACTAGTTGCAGTAGGTGGTTGAAAAACTCTGACACCAGGGTTCATTGGGTCATTGAAACACTTGGTGTCTCACTCAAAGAAGAAGAAGAAGAAGAAGAAGAAGAAGAAGCACGAATAATGATGATGTTTGACCTCAACTGCAGCTGTTGACACATATTAGTAATCTTGTCATCGAAATAATAGCAGTCGTCCACGGGTGTTGGCCTAGAAGTTACCGGCAAAAATTTGCGGCACACTTTCAGAAATCCAGACGCAACACTCTACAGCCTGCTACCTACCAACTTTTGTCAACGGCCGCCGTGAAAGCGTCGATGCGGCTAAGAATAACTACAAAACGGGTGCCGTCCATCTGTAACAAGTCTCATTTTAACCCCTAGTTTAAAAAAATGCAATACTTACGTATAATTCGTTCCATATTCCACATTCCTTTAATATTATCGGTTTTCTTGAATGCGCGCTTGGCAACAGGCTCATAGGATGTGTCTTCGATGTTATTATATTCCATAGCACTAGTTGAAGGAACACCTATTGGATCGAAAGGTTCTTCTTTTATTTCTACTGTGTCTACCGGCGGATAGACGAATTCTGAACTAAACATAAACATATTTGCTTTGGGTTCTATATTCTCCTCCATTGAATATTCCTCATTTGAAAATAATTTAGATTCTGGTTTTATGTGTTCCTTCATCGATGAATAGACTTCTTCCGATACAGTCGTAGCAATCAGGGACTCATTCGAAAGCATTTTCCGATTTGGTTCAACATTTTCCTTTATTTTCTTTTCTGATCCATCCATAGCAACCATAGCGTCATTAGAAACCGTTTCCTGAAATGATTGTACGTCTTCCTTCATCATCAATTCTGATCCAGTCATTTCAGCCAGATCTTCATTTGAAACTGTTTCCCGTTCTGATTGAATAGCTTCCTCCATCATCATTTCTGATTCAACCACATCAACCCGATCCTCATTCGAAACCGTTTCTTGAGTTGATTGTACATCTTTTTTCATCATTACTTTGGATCCAGCCATAGCAACCATAGTGTCAATTGAAAACGTTTCCCGTTCTATTTCCATATTTTCCTTCATCATTTCTTCCGTTGTTCCAGTCATTGGAACCACATCCCCATTTGAAAAAAAATCTTGTTCTGCTGATCCAGCCATAGCAACGGTAGCCTCATTCGAACCCGTTTTCCCTTCGGGTTCTACGTTTTTCTCTATAGTCACTGATCCATCCATAGCAACTACAGCGTCATTCGAAAACATTTCCCGTTCTGATTCTATATATTCTTCCATTGACGAATAGATCACTTCCTCTCCAGCAATGAAATGTTCCAATTGTATTTCTTGACTATCTACCACCGGACAAAATAATTCGGATCCAAATATAACCTCGTTTGAAAAAGCTTTCACTTGTATCGTCTTCTCCGCCGTCGACATTTCTAATCCGTTCATTACCTCATTTGAAAAAGTCTCCGGTTTTATCTGCTCCTCTATCGACAAACTGTTTAATTCATTTAATTCCAATCCACCCGAAAAGGTATTTGAAAAAGATTCAGTGTTGGTCGTCACCTGCATTGTCGAATTTCGACGACAACGCAATTCCGCAGATTTAGAGGTTATGTTATCGATAAACTCAACCTTTACTTTCTTCCCGTGGCTTGAAGAGAACCCTATTTGATCCATCTTTATCTTTGGATTGTCGTATTCACTGCTAATATTACTTAAGTCGGCCTACGAAGACATCACTTTAATTTATTAAACACTAAATCGATTCAAAACGCGAACAAACAAAGATGTTTACGGACGCGAGTGCGAGCTCCGAATGGCATGACCTTCGCAAAACAAAATGGCGACGAATCGCGTGATCACGTGTCTGCGAACGCGGCCCGTGCGGCCCGTGGCAGTCGCGTTCCGTTTTTGCAGTAAACGTCGGGGTTCTTGGACGCACCAATGCGGTTTGCGTTGCGCGGGGCGAATACGAAAACGGAACGGAGTTTTATTCGGTGGATTTTAAAATGGGTAAATTAAAGTCATATGTTTTACTGTGTTATATAAGGTGTAAAAAAATCAACGGCAAATATTTTAAGGGGTGTCAGTGTCAGTCCCTGGATCTGAACAACTTTCCCCAAAGAACAAAAGTCGAAAAATGAAAATAATTTGGCCTCCCTTACACAATGTGTTGGCCGGCCAGGTCAGTTTGTTTTAAACTTACCTATATTTCGATTATTTTTTTCTTGGGGAGAGTTGTTCAAGTTTCATGATTCACACCAAATATTTTCAGTATTTTTTTTACATTCTGTATAATATTCTATTCCGCTAAAGTAGCTGTAAATAAGTAGGTAATTACTGTGTATTTTTTCTATGGTAAGTACCTACATAGGTAGTACATTTTTTGTTATTTTAATAAAATATTAATTATCTAGCATTTATTCTTTACGGAGTGAGCAAAATGAAAAAAAAAATGTTAATTCTTATCAGTTCTAAATGTGAAAGACAAAACAACACGTGCGCGCACGCAAATCGAGTCTCGTTGGTGGGAGAAGCTTAGATCACTATGATAAAAATGTATCCGTCTCTTTCTAACAAACGGTACTTTGCGCACTTAGGAACAGAATGGAAATACGATCGTTTTGATTGTTATTTTGTAGTTAGATAGTTTCTAAAAACGGGGTGTAGATAAAAGTTCATTATGTATGGGTATCTTTTAAATAGGTAGGTAGGTACTTATTTGTATTACCACAAAAATCTACCTAGGTACCTACTGGCACAGAATAAATAAAACAAAGTGTTTTTTGTAACCCGAATAAACTCTTCGTCCAAAGTTAGGCTTCCATTATTTTTCCGATATTGAGCGAAGATTGTTGCTTTATTAGATTTTATACGCTCATCGGATAAAGTCAATGCTAAATCCTAAAAGTAATAACAACGAAACCTCTCCCACTTATATCATGCCTGTATATCCCTTGTAGGGTAGACAAAGCGTCAGCGGGTTGGATGAAAGCTTGGATAAAAGGCACATCTGTCAAATACTGAAGGTCATTCTAAGCGTCTATGAATCATTCGGTAACATTAGCAACAACATTTAAAAAATAATATATGGCTTGTTCTCCTCGGGACGCGTTCTCCTGACAATTCCGTCATCATTTTTCAAATTGATTTTATTGTTATTTTGAATGTATGGGGTCATTCTTTGTAGGAATATAAATAAAATTATGTGAGAGGCCCACTTTTTTATCGAGTAAATGCGAAGTTATAACAAGGCCACTATTTGCTGTGACGGAATCTAGAGAACGGAATTGGGTTGTAGGATGGATCTAACAAAAATGATTCATGTGGCTTTGTTTACAAGTATTGACAAGATGTTCATAAACATGTGCATACATTATCGTGTTATAAGGAAAATTTACAAATCTGTTTTAAATTTAAATAGATAGTCATAAAGAAAATTGAAGTCCACCATTTTATGTGACGGATCTGATAAAATGTCCACTATTTGGGTGACGGATCTGATAAAATGGCATAGTTTATTTTTGCTAAAGCCCTGGTTCATATCATTCCTGCTAATGGTACATAAATTCTTGCTTTCGCTTACTTTAAAACACGAAAAAAAGCTGTTAGTGAGTGAAATTTCTTTTTCAGATCAGCGTCTTTCTGTTAGTGAAAGGCTGGGAATAAGAAAATGTTTTGATATCAATATCAAAATTCAGTAATATACCTAGCATTGTGAGTGCATTAAAATCCCAATAGATCAATATTCATAGTTTAGTTAGGCTTTTGAGTTCCGCATTACGATCTTTGCCGTGTGGTGATGGCAGAATATAATTTCACCACCCCAAGTCTGCCCGTGGGTAACGTAAGAGGCGATAAAGGGCTTCCGGGGGGTGGGCAGCAGCGCCTCCAGTGTTGACAACATCGTCCACAAACACACACTGCGGTCACCAACCCGTGTGCCCAGCGTGGTGACTATGGGCCCATGAATAGGTCGAGAAAGAAACGGCCCCTAGTTCCCGGCCGCCCTACTACCCCAAGCTACAGTAGCGGCTCGGGTAATGGTAGGGCAGGGAGTGCAAAGAATATGGACGTCGGCTGCCATAAACTGACCCTGGAAACTTATAATGAACGCAGTCTGCGGCTGGATGACAGCCTCCAAATCCTTGAAGTAGAATTAGATAAGATACGGTGGCATGTTCTTGGGTTGTCAGAAGTCCAAAGAGAGGGGGGACACGATAACCCTAGAATCAGGTCACTTATTCTACTCCAGGGAAGGGACCGCGCAGTCTTAGGGTGGCGTAGGGGTTCTCGTCAATAAAGCTCACTGTGACAACGTGAAGGAGACCTGCAGCGTCTCAAACAGTGCAGCGTACCTCGTACTGAAGTTGACCGAGAGGTACACTCTCAAGGTCGTGCAGGTATATGCGCTGACTTCGAGCAGCTCAGATGAAGAGGAGGAGGCCCTATATGATGACGTGTCGAAGGCCATACACCAAACCACTAAGACCCACTTCACTGTCGTCATGGGGTACTTTAAAACTAAAGTGGGACAGAAGCACGGCGAATCAAGCTTGGGGCCACATAGCTACGTGAGCAGAAACCAGAGGATCCAAACGCTAGTCAACTTCCTTAGCAGGCAGGGGCTGATCTGTATGAACAGCTTTCATCAGAAAAAGCTCAAACGGAAGTGGACCTGAAAGAGCCCTGACGGCAGGACGAAGAACGAAATCAACTTCATCATGACGGATAAGCGGCATATATTTAGGGATGTCTCAGTCATTAGTAGATTCAATACCGGAAGTGATCAACGACTAGTAAGAGGCACCCTAAATATCAACATCAAGATAGAAAGAAACCGCATGATGAAGCCAGTTCTCCGCCCCAAGCTGCCCCAAGCCAGACATGAGGAATTC